TTGCCTCTCTTCCTAAATGCAGAACTAGCATAGTGTATGAATGGGACATTTTGTGGAGAGACAGTTATGAAATAAGGCAAACATTTGTGTGCGTGTGAGGGTCCATATTATGAGAAAGTGGGACAATTGTGAGTTCAAGGGAGCCCTTTGGGGGAAGATGGAAGTATTACAGCTGAAGAAACAGCTGTAGGCTCAATATTATATGGATAAGAGAGCTATTGAAGCTGTCTTGACTACAGTGTTCCCTGATGTTTTAGAACAGGGATGGGAGATTTGTAGCTCTAAAAATATTGTGGGACTTTAGCTCCTCTCAGCCGTAGACAATATGGCCAATGATTAGAGATAATGGAAGTGGTAGTCCAACATTTGGAAGGCCATCGGTGCCTCCTTCAAATGAAAAGAGAGTGTTCACATTTGAGTCTCATTTTCTTGTGTACATGAAACATCTCAATTGTGTTGTTTTCAAGTTGCAGAGCACCACATTCTAAAGAATGGTATGTTGTCTATAAAATGTAAAACATATGTCCTATCACTTTCTCAAGGAACCCCCAGTGGCACAATGGATTAAACCCTTGTGCCAGGTGAACTGCTGACTGAAAAGTTGACTATTCGAATCCAGGGAGTGGGGTGAGCTCCTGTCCATCAGGTCCAGCTTCCCATGCGGGGACATGAGAGAAGCCTTCCACAGGATGGTAACATATCTGGGAGTCTCCTGGGCAACCTTCTTATAAACAGCCAATTCTCTCACACCAGAATCGACTTGCAGTTTCTCAACTCGTTCCTGACACACACAAAAATCTTTCTCTCCCACAAATCTGAATATGTATGTATACACATAATGCAGAGACATGTATATATATGAACATATATTCACATTCACACACACACACATACATTCACACACATACATTCACACACAGGCATACATTCACACATGTGCATACATCACAGATATGGATAAACACATGTGCATACACATTCATATATATGTATATAACCGCATGTATTTGCATACCTTATATACATATGGACATATGTATATAGATATGTATACACTTATACATTCACATACATGTATATAGACATATACATACATACCCACATATGTATATAGACACACAGATGAATTTAAGGCTTCTTCGCAGACATTTTTATGCCCTTGAATGAGGTTTGGGATATTTACACCCAACATGTTTTCACTCTTAAATGCATCATGACGGCTAGGACATCTAATAAAATGGTGAAATCCCACATCCTCACACTGATATATCAAAACTCCTCTCAAGGTATTATATTTCATATCTGTTGGTATTTTACAAGCTAAACCTGTGACACATATGTGTGTATTTTGGGGAGGATGTAGAGAAGATCTTAATATGAACAGAATGTCGTATCTAATTCATCCAGCAGCTCTCTTTCTCTTTGTCTGCCAGCTAAAATCTGGATGAAGATTGGACCCGGAACACCTGCAATAGAATAAAGAAAAGGAGGAGGCAGAAAAAGATCTGGTGGCAAATATTATCAATTAAAAAAACATGAGTCCACACATGCTTCAGTCTTTTGTGTTCTCTAAATACAATCAGATACGATACTCCTGTTCTTTGCCAACACACCTGTGCTCTTGCATACATGCAGCCAGTAGATTATGAATTTGGGCTAATGCCACTGAAAGCAAGTAGAACGGAAAGCACGGTAGCTAAATTCCTAGATCTGTGATTTACTCTTAATCTTCTAATGCAAATAAAGGATTAATGTTAGTCTTAGTTCTTCCTTCAGTTGTTTGCTTTCAGTGCTTTCACTGTCAAGCATTGCATGTGTGAAATACCTTCTGCTTCCTTCTGCACTGAACTTTCCCAAGTTATTTTGCTGCCAGAGGCAAAGAACAAAATTGTGCCCCTTTCCTTTCCTATGTGGAGGACAGCCAGAGAAATGATGGGACAACATAGCTGGGGACAGCAAGCTCATTTGGGGGGTTCAGGACCAACAGCATAGATGACATTATTTCTCCTCCACCACCTCCTCCCTCTATTTATTTGTATCCTGCTTTCTTTTAGTAGCAAGACCCCCAAACAGCTCACAGCCTCAAAAATTATATGATATCAATGCCTACAAAATATATTAAAATATAAATTTTAGAATTGTTAAAACAACTCAGGCCCCTTCTACACTGCCATATAATCCATATGATCAAAGCAGCTAAACTATATTATCATCTATTAACTGGATTATATTATACACTGCCATATAATCCAATTCAAAGGAGATAATATGAATTTTATATAACCGTGAAGAAGGTGCTTTAGGCTGAATCTACATTGTCCTATATCCTAGTATCTGATCCCAGATTATCTGCTTTGAACTGGATTATATGGCAGTGTAGACGCATATAATCCAGTTCAAATCAGATAATCAGGGGCCCTTTTTTTCTGAAACTTTATAGTATTGATGCCCTGCTTATGTTGTCCCATTGTGCAGAAATTCAAAGGGATATCTCATATAT